TGCCACTGTGTGTCGTAGTTAGTAAAAGTTCCCGCCAACAAACGATTGATGCTGTCAATCTCCTTCTTTAGTTCTCTACTTGCTCCTACAAAATTCGTGCCCTGGTCGCTGTAGATGTCTTGAGGTGCACCCCGCCTTGAAATGAACCTCCTGATAGCCATCTTGCAAGATTCAGTCGACAGTGTACTTGCCACTTCCAAATGCACAGCTCTCACCGTCAGGCACGCGAACAACATCACCCACCGCTTGACGCTACTTCTTCCAATGCGAATCAAATATGGCCCACAGTAATCAACGCCCACGAAAGTGAACGGTCTAACGTACGGTGTGACTCTTGCTACTGGCAATGGAGCCATACGAGGATTCATGGGAAAAGCTCGATAGACATTACACCACGTACATTGCCTGGCAACCCGTCGAACAATCGATCTCAAAGCAGGAATATAGAATTTTTGCCGGATCTCATTCGTTACGGTTTCCCTGTTTGCATGTCCGTACCGTCGGTGATACGATTCAACTAGCAGCTGTGTTACGTAATGGCTTCTCGGCATAATAACAGGAAACTTTGTTGCATCAGATACTCCCGGTGCTGCGCTTATTCTACCGTCGACTCTCAGCAATCCCGCTTCGTCCAGAAACGGAGATAAATTTCGGAGCGGGCTATACTTCTCCAGCTTAACTTGTTGCTCTGGAGGAAGTGAACCGTTCTTCTGTATGGTCAGGATCTTATCCGGATATGTTTCCAGTTGTATTGACCGCCACAGAGTAGTTTCCGCTTTCCGTTGCTCTTCTCGAGATAGAATCATTTGGTCCGGAAGCTCCGTATGGAATCTTTTCCGGCATTTGGCGACGAACCGTAGAGCAAATGATACGCTTCTTTGTAGGCTCTCTATTCTTGAAAACCTATCGTAAGCAAACAGTGGTTTTGGTGCTTCACGATGGTGTGCATAAATTGGTCGTATTTCCTCCGTGGTATCAGGACTAGGTAACGACTTGGATGGCCACAACGCTTCTTCCTCGTACAAGAATCCTGGTCCCCGAAACCATCTGCTGTCGTCTTCGAAGCAAGGTCCTTTGCCCCACTTAGTGGCTTCATCCGCTACGTTGAGGGTTGACGGTACGTGTCTCCAATCGCCTAGGTTAGTTTCCGAGAGTATTTCACTGATTCGAACAGCAACGAACTGTCCGTATTTTCTTTGATCCGACTGTATCCAGGAGAGCACTGTTGTTGAATCACTCCACATCACTCGGCGACGTATTGGCAGCGTATGACCTTCAACAACTGACTTCATCAATCGGGACCCTATCACCGCAGCTTGTAGTTCTAGCCGTGGTACTGACAAGGTTTTTAGTGGTGCTACTTTTGTCTTCGACGAAATTAGAGCACACCGTACGCCTTCACGATCAACGATGCGAAAGTAAGCAACGGCAGCGTAAGCCGTCTCACTCGCATCCACGAAAACGTGAACGTCCACACTCTCCAAACTGCTCGGCTCATAACCAGGAAAGTAGCACCGAGAGATTGTCACTGTGTTGATTTTATGAAGTATGTTCACCCACCGTTGCCAACGATCGTAGATCTGTTCAGGAATCTGCTCATCCCAACTCGTTTTGGTTCTCCAAATATCCTGGACAATACACTTTCCATGTACAACGAACGCCGCTACCAATCCGAGTGGGTCAAAAATACTCATGACTACACGGAGAGTTTCTCGCTTCGTTGGAATCCTCGTACCATCTAGCAACGGTAGAATTTCGTTCCGGAAGTTGATGTTGAAAGAAAAAAGGTCTTGTTCCGGCAGCCATACCATTCCGAGGATTCTTTCGGAATTTGTGGTCTTGTCGGCTATAAAGTTTTTAGAGTTCTGAGGAATTGGATCCCCTATCTGCTGAACGACATCTTTCGAATTGGATAACCACTTGCGAATATCAAATCCGGCTTTCGCATGAACGGCTTTTACCTCTTTTATCAGCTGAACCGCTTCTTCCTCGGTATCCACGCTGTCGAGGTAGTCGTCCACATAGTGGTTCTCCTGAATAGCAACAGCAGCTCTGGGGTACTGCATTTTCCACTCTTCAGCGTTTAAGTTTTTTACGTATTGAGCGGAGCATGGAGAGCAAGTTGCTCCGAATATTGCCACGTCCATCACGTAAACTTCCACCTGCTCTCCTGGTTCGTTACGGAATACGAATCGTAGAGACTGTCGATCTCGGGAACGCATTAGCATCTGCATGAACATTTCCCGTATGTCTCCCGATATTGCTACCTCTCGTTGACGGAAACGATACAAAACGGACAGAAGTGGTGTCAAAAGGTCTGGCCCCGTTAACAGCATAGAATTCAGTGAAACTCCTTCGACCTTTGCCGCTGCGTCCCATACGATGCGAATTTTCCCTGGTTTATTCGGGTTTAAAATTACACCCAATGGTAGATACCAAGTCCTCCTAGGATCACTATTGACCGCCTCCTCTTCCGTCAATTTGTGTGCGTATCCTTTCGCTTGAAAGTCCATGATCTGCTGCTTAACGTTGTCGTACACCTCCGGCATCTTCGACAGCTTCTTCTCCAGGCATTTCATACGTTGCTCGGCCATAGACCGACTATCAGGAAACTCTATGTAATCGTACTTCCATAAGAGGCCCGTTTCGAACCTTCCTGATGGTGTGCGAACTGTTGTTTCCTTGAGAATTTGACGAGCTCGTTGATTGTCTTCTGATTCGATTGCAGGTACTGCCGATATTCCAATGCTTTCCACGTTGAAGAACCCCTTGACCAAATCGTGAAGTTCTTGATCTGGAGATCGCGCACAGATATGAAGATGACGATACTCTTGGGGTACGTCTGGACCTTCAACATTACCGTACAGCGTCCAGCCAAGTTTGGTTTTTGCAGCAACTGGTTCGTACACTTTTCTATCCCTCTTTTTAAGCGTAACGATCAACTGCGCGTTATCTACGCCTAAGAGAATACGGGGAACTGCATTCGTATAGCTTGCCACAGGAAGTCCCCGTAGATACGTGAACCTTTGTGCAATCTGCTCAAACTGTAACGTTTGCGGTGGTAGATCGAGGTTGTCGACTGTTCGCACGCCGTCAAGGGCATACACTTTTCCACCATCAACTCCTGAAATGCCTATGCGAATTAGTTGAGATTCTGTTTCCGTTCTTCTGATGCTACCGGTCCATTGTAGACAAAGTGGTTCTACCTTGCCTTTAACTCCGAGCTCCTCCGCTAGCTCCTTCTCGACCAACGTGAATGACGAACCATCATCGAGGAACGCCAGGGTCTCCACTGACGCTTGCTTCCCGTGTATAATAACGGGTACAACACGAAACAGGGTTTGACGTGGCAGTTGTCGATGAACGTTCACTGTTCCAGAGGTTGTAGGCTGGTCTTCGGTTTTCACTTCGGGTTTACCAGGATGTAGCAGCTTATGATGACGTACTTCGCATCCGTTTGTTCCACAAGCTGGAGCTTTACACGGCCACTTGCCATGTGCAGTAAGGCAACGCCTACACAGATTTAGCTGTTGCACCGTTTTCCATCGATTATCCAGATCCAAACCCCTGAAGCTAAAGCAGTCTCTTATTCTATGTCCTATCTTCTTGCACATCAAGCAGGGCTTAGGAGCATCCACACTCTTTTTCGGTTCTCTTCTTTCGGATTTGTGTTCGTCCTCCACAGAATGAGCATTTAAATACCCCTTTTCCTTGCCTCGAGGTTTTTCTGGTTTCTTCAAAACCTCCGTGCACAGAGTGACGTTGCTCGCAGCCGATACCAACGTTGACATGTAATCGCCAAAGGCACGGATGTCCACCATTGGCAGCTGACGCTGGTACAAAGCCCAATCCAATTTTACTCCCGCTGGAAGCTTATCCACCAACTCTTGCAACAAGTTTGGATTTGATAAGTGAGCCTCCATACCTAATGACTGCAAATGACTGCATAGATTCTGTACCACCAGACCAAAGTTGATCAAACTTTCTAACCTATCTGCCCTCGGTGCTGGGGTTGAGTGCACCTTGCTAAGCAAACATTTCACTATTAACTCCGGCCGACCGAAAAGTGTCTGCAATGTTCCTAGAATCTGTGGAACGGAAGACGGGTGAAGGAGATGACATCGTACAGCTTCCCTAGCGGTTCCCTTTAAGCAGCGTTGAAGCCTCATAAGGTTTTCTGCATCAGTATAACCACACATGCTAGTAGAGTTATCGTAACTGCTAGCAAACAAAGGCCAATCAGCTGGGTCACCTGAGAACTCTGGTAATTCTCTTGGAACGACGTGTCTAGCGGCGATTTGCTGAGCAGTTGGTCCAGCTGCCAATACTGGTTGTGCTGTACCTTGCGAAACCATCGGAGTAACTATCGGTTGAGAATAGCTTGGGACAGTTTGAACAAACGGAGGTGGAGGGAACCCAGGAACCACTGGGACAGTGACCGAATTTCCCAAAGGCATTGTGCTAGTTACACGCGATTGCAGCAGAGGATGGACGAACTTTCCCGATGCAGAAACAGGATTTGATATACCAGCTGCAGCAGTTACCGAGCAATAGCTCGTACCACTTTGACTGAAGGTCACCACAGGGACATTGTGTTGAGACCTACCTTGGAACGGTATTATACTTCCAAGAGCAGTTACCGTGGGACCACACACGCTCGGGCCAGAGTAGTTAGTTCCATGGGTAGGTTGCGTTCCTCGCTTAGACTCATCTTGATGAAGCAAACGGTACAGTTGTTGCTGAAGATCATGTATCTGCCGATGAAGCATATTCGTTTCGGTAGTAGTAGTCGTAGGGTGCAACATATTAACACCTGTCAAATGTAGCATCTCTTGTTGTCTGCTGGTAAGCGGAGAAATATTCAGAGCTGCCGTCGTTGATACCGGAGTGCTTATTCCATGAATTGTATGTTGCTTGAACGGATCTGGATCAGACAGAATCGGATATTGCGAGACCTGCCCTTGCTGAGTTGTTTGCGGTTTATTAGCAGAGGTTGTCGTTAGAAACTGGAGAGGCAAACTAATTCCAGGAGTAAAGTTGGGTAAAGGCTGTCCCCTGAACGGAAATAATGGATTCCAAGGTACTGAAGTTACTGTGGTTGGCATTATTCCTTCAAGATCTTTGGTAACACTGACTGGTGTAGAAGTGACACCAGTAACCTGGTTATTTGCAGATGTCCGATTGGGAAACTTTACATTGTTCGACGTGGAATCGGTGGGGAGATTGTTTGTCCCATTACCGGTGGCCAGGGCCGAATCGTGGTGTTTCCTAACCCAATCCTGGACTGTGCTCCTAACGCTATGGATACTTCGGTGACTCTGTACACATCTGTCGTCGTCGTCCTCCTCTGCGGTGGCTTGAAGAATGTTATACTTCTTCTTTATGTACTGCATCTGTAACTCCTGCATCCTGAGCCGTGCCTGTTCCTTCCTTTCTTTCTCCTGTTCCATCGCTTTCTTCTGTAATGCAGCTTCTTCATCCTGCTGTTGCGTCAGTAGCTGCTCCTCCAGAGCTTTTTCCTCGGCAAGTCTTCGTAGTTCCAACTCTTGACGAGCAAGTCGTGCACTCGAAGAAGTAGATCTGCTGGATTTCGAACTTAATGGAGCTGGTCGGGGTGCACACTTAGTACAAGAAAAGCTCCTATCCTTGATACTCTCATCCACTTTAGCGCAGATGAAATGGTACCATTGTTCACAAGAATCGCACTGTACCATCCATTTGTCTGCCACATCCGGCTGATTACATGCGGGACATTGACCGAACACTGCACTTTCCTCTTCCGACAGCATGCGTACTACGCTGAGCCGATTATTTTTTCTCGATCCCGACATTCTTCTCGTTCCCAGTGCACTGGTGGAAGAAAGACGCCTTCCGAATTGAGGTTAAACAATCTTAAAGAATGTTGCGGCACACGACAATCATAGACCTTCGGACGTCTTTTTAGCAAACCCAGTTTGTTTTGTGGGAATATGCTTTAAGCTATAAATTTTATTTTAATTAGTTTTAAGTGTAAAGTAGAATATATAGAAATCTTACATTGTTTAGTCCAATTTTAATTTGTTTATCGTGTTGCAACTTCTTGTATATATCCTCGATTATTGTCTATTAATTTAACACAATATTTAGTTCCATGTATGTAATTCAATTTCGTATACTTACAATTGTGTGTAGTTCAAATCTTAGTTTAATGTAATTTGTTTTATTAATCACTGACTACAAACTTTTCCAAAAATATACTTCTTTTTCATCTTTCTTTTAACCTACCATCTACCAATGACATTCCAACGCTGTCAACTTGACGTTCAATAGCTTCCCCATGGAAACTGTAGTGAACGTTTGCAGACAGTTCAGACGGGCAGCTTGCCAAGGTTGTTATGATTCGCGAGGTGTTCGCTTTCGCCAACACAAGTTATAAAAAATGCGCTGTAGTCCCCTACCACCACAAGATAACAGCAGAACCAGCTTTTCATGCTGCGTCTCAACATTCCGCAACTCCAATGCCAATTCGAAAGATCTTTGCCACTCCTCCCACTCCTGTCTCAAATTTTGCGTGTCGACTGCATCATTGAAGGGTTCTAGCGAAAATCTTTTACCTTCGAAACTCATCTGAAACAATATTTAAATTTGATTAGATAATTCGATCCACAGTGGTACTCTAGGATTGTTCATACAGTATAAAAGAATGTCCCGAAAATTCCTCAAATGTACTTTGCATCAGTTCAAATTAATTTGTTTTCACTTCTTTTTAGAGCAAACAATAACTTGTTTTTTTTTTACTCTGAAGGCAATCGTATTGAGTTTCTGCGCAAGATTTTACTAACACTGAAACGACCTAAATGATGTACGCTTATGATAATGTTTGTGAAACGATTTGTAGCTACCGTGCTTCACTACCTGTCAACACTATCACTCTAAAACTTTTACATTATTTAGCTCTTCCTTTTATTTACATGCCCTCACTACTTTCACTGTTGATACAAGGAGAGAGAAAAAAAAATAGTATGAAAACTCATTTCTTTGCTATCCCGGCTGTGAACGAAAATCAAAACAAGACCAAAACAAAGGGTTGTATTTTAGTAGTATGAGAACACTTTTTATAGCTTCTCTCTCTTTAATGCAATGACAGATATCATTGTATTGGTGCGTTTCAGTTCAAAACTTGACTCGTTTCTCGCTCTTGAGTACATTGACTGGTCTTGCGTTGTGTATGTGCGCTTCGGCTTGAAACCGGACTCGCTTCATGCTCTTCAGTACAATGACTGGACTAGCAGTATTGGTGCGCTTCGATCGTAGACCGGACTCGCTTTTCCGTTTTTTCCATTTTTTTTTTGTGGCTCTTCAGTACACAGACTGGACTAGCATAGGCTTCGGCTCGAGACCGGACTCCTTTTTTTTGTTTAGGTTCATCTCACCCACATGGAATCATCGTTTGTAACACGATGATGTATTTCAACTCTCCACAAAGTATTAAAGCAACGCAACCCTTTCAAAAATTTGGAGCAGGTCCTTTTATACAATCCGTCGATCTCACAGACACACTATCTTATTTTTAAAAAATGAAAAACCCACACAAAAAAAAAACTTGTTCCCGTTTATCTTTTCTGGTAAGGTAAAAATAAATCTCTTTTCCATAAATAATCCTACCGACAGTGCGCCAAAATGTAGAATCTTACCTCTATAACATGGGTTATGATATTTTAATAAGAAACACGTTCCTTTTATGTTTGGTTTATTTCCACAACACTTGTATTTCACAACCAACCACTTGTACCGTCCAATCCTTAATCCCCTAGCTAGATGAAACTCCTACCTACAACCCCGCATTCTATCTCTCTCTACATCTTGCTTGCTCTCTCAAATCATATCCAAGCTTCTGAACACTCTAATCCTAAACTCTACACCCGGTATAAGTTTAAGCTGGCTGCGGTGGCTCTTCTTTTCCTTCTATCCCTGAATAGATAGTGCGAATAAGGGTGTATATGTAATGTTTTGCTGTACCTGTTGTGGACATTAGTACATCCTTTTCCTTACACTTGTTGAGGATGCCTTGTCTTGTCTCAAAATTTATCCTCTTTATGGGCGACGTGCCTAACGAGGCAATACATAATGCTCTATGTAGAATGATTGTCATCCTAAATTGAAATGCATATGGTATTGGTTCAGCCCCATAACGCAAATCATCCAAAACTATGATGAAAATAACTCTATCGAACGTCATTTGCTAATCTGAGCTGACAAACGAGGTGGAAACGTAGTCATCGCTTTCAGAGGTGGTACAAACATTGGTATAGAGTGGAAACCAAAGATTGTCTAGTTCGTGGACAGGAAGTTTCTTCTACCAACAAATGAGTTTTGTATCCATAATGGAATGGTTGTTCATGGCGGCTATTCAATATGGAAGTGTAAATAACCGAATTATAAATCTATTTTAAAGCATTTGCAAGTCATGCTGTTCTTGGTATTTTTTCCTCTGAGTGTCTTTTCAAATAAATATCATCCTTTATTAGGATAATAGTCATATGGATGCTCATCAGCTGATGACGAATTCAGCCATAAGGCAATCATCAGAAATCAGAAAGCATATTGTTAAAGCAGTGCTGGAAAGTATCAGTATCAGCTCACATATTTTCAATATCAATGTCTCTCGTCTCAATGTCTCTCGTCACAATGTCAGTGCACAACTGACACTGACATCGTTATTGAGCCTACTGTGTTCTGTGTTCCATTTGGTAAATTTTTACTTAAATTTGATACGTCGAAAATAAATTATAATGTTAGAAAATCCCTCTGTTGTTGATCTTCCGATTTTCGAGAAGATGTATGTCAAAATTAATTCCTGGTCTGTCAAATATAAGTCTGGTACAATAGCAGGCTTATTTGAAAATTTTCCATCTGTCAAATTTAAGTGAAAATTCACCAAATGGAACACAACCTTAAGGTTCCATAACATTTTTTTCTCAAATACGCCAGCTAATCATCGGTACTATTAAAAGAATGCAACGGATGTACAAAATAGTTAATTTATTGAGATAAACGTAAGACTTTCAACTTTTACCTACTGATATTCGTACGGATTGTAATGTCAATGCCGTACCGCCTGATATAATGCTTGCTACGAATATCAGTGTGGGAAGAGAAATTCAGTACTGGAGTAATATGTAAAGTCTTTAGACATTGTTAACTGCACACAGCACTGTGTTAAAAGGTTCTAGCTAAAGAGTCTGAATTTATAAAGATACGACATCTTATCCATTTGACAGGTCTTCTGCTCGATTGGAATAACTTTTCCTATGACTTTGAAAGATAATCGCTTGTTCCAATTTTGACAAGTCGTCTCTTTATAAATGCAGGCTCTTTAGTTCTAGCAATGCAATAATCATTCGAAGTATTGCGGATTTTTTCGTTAAGTGTAGCTGTACACGCTATTTCAAAACTACCTAAATGTGGGTAGAATCCAACCAGATCCTTCAAAACTGAACCTACCCAAAAATGGGTAAACTGTGTTGGGAGTGACAAGTTGACAACAAATGGCAACATCGACATGAATCCGATCGACTTTGTTCATTTGTCAACTTGTCATTCCCAACATAGTTTACCCATTTTTGGGTAGGTTCAGTTTTGACCGATCTGGGTAGATTCTACCAAAATTTGGGTAGTTTTGAAAAAGCGTGTAAGATGTGACAGCATCAACTCGGCATTACACGGTAGCCGCAAAATACCCAATAATGACTACAAAGTAAGGATTTTCGAGGGAAACTGGGACTACCCATTAAATGAGTAAAATTTTACCCATTTATGAGTAATTACAACTACAAAAACAATTTGTAAGTATTCATTTTTGAGTAACAAATACTCATAAATGGGTAATATTTTTACTCATTAAATGGGTAGTCCCAGTCTCCCTCGAAAATGCTTACTGTGTAGTCATTATTGGGTATTTTGCGGTTACCGTGTACAGAAAGCTTACAAGCAACCAAAGTTCTCTGACTCCTAAGCCTCAAGTACTTGGTTTACATGTTATTTTGCGATAAACTATTCACATATTTGATCACAATATAATTGAAGTGTTTTGAGTTTTATCCCACCATAAATAAAAAGTGTTTTCACTAGGGGCATCCCACTCTAAACTTTTTATTTCTCACGATGTACTTATAAAGTTCTAACTGGTATCTTAGATACCTACAAATACTTAAAAATACTTAAGAAATACTTATTACTAGATTGCTTCCCTGGTTGTTAGACAAATTTCTGTTGTTTGTTTACTCAATGTTGTCAAGGATTTTATGTGTTATGTTGGATTGTGTGCATTGCGAGCGTTAAAGTATTTAGTGAATAGATCATGCAAAAGAAGAGATTTACAAGTTCAGAAGAATGGTCAATTATGGTCTTTAGTTTATGTGTCTTTTCTTATCTCTCTTATTTAAGTAGCAGCAAACACACTTTCAGCAAACACACTTTTTCTGAACAAGTTTCATTATAATATTCACTCCTATTCCCTATTTGGATCGAAACGTTTTTGTTATAAGTATTTTTGAAAATATGTTTCGAACAAAATAAGGGTAGGTAATACATAAATAGATAGAAATAGATAAGTGATAAATTTGAATCCATTGAGCAAATTCAGTATTTGGCAAACATGTGAATGAAGACAGTGAGTCAAATGTAAACCATGCCTTTTTTAATATTTGTATGTTTTTTTTTTATTTTTCAAAGCTCATTTGAATTAGTTTTACAAAGTTGAAGTTCAATTTTAGATTAACAGAGTTTTCTTAAACCATTTGGGGGTTCTTACCATTAGTCAGCTATGCCTGGACACCGAATTCGCTGATCG